AAAAAAAAAAGAAAAGAAACCCACTCGACACGAGTAACACAGAAACGTTGCAGGCACGTCACTTTGATATTCGTGTAATTGTGTACGTCACGAGCAAATTGGAAACAATCCTCGATCGATCGATACGCGAAGCTTCGATCGTGACTGATCTATGCGAGTCAACTTTTTTTCTTTTCGATGTTCCCACGTGGGTTCGAGGGAACAGTCGTTGGTTCGCGAAACTCGTCGTTCTGAAACTGAAACGATCGCTCGTTCTCTCGAATCGCGTGTGGTTTCAAAATATCGTTCCATCGGAAACGAAAGCGAGAGCCAACAATCGTGTCATTCGTCAATTTTGATTTCTTTTTACTTTGCAGTCGGATCGCGCGGACCAACTCTCTCGGTGCACAAGCTGCTCGAGATTTTCACCACGTGAATTCGAGCGTTCCGAAGGAAGGGAGGCGAACTAAACGAAACGCTTGCTGGAACTCCAAATGGATTCCTGTATGAAGGTTCGTCCAAGTAGGACGAGATTTACGTCGTTTCGTAGCGTTTGTAGCCGCGCAAAGAGTCCATTGACACGATCGTTTCCGTGATCTCTTGGACGCGTTTTCAGCGTGTTCGAGCGACTCGAGACGAAATCCTACTGATTCGTCCTTCATTCGACGGACGGGAGGAAGCTTCGCAATCGTCGAGTCGATAAGAAAATTAAAAATAGAGGATGGACGATTGCAAAGTTTTCTACGATATTCTTCTAGAGTACACCAATACAGAGCTTTCGAACTAGAAGCAACGAAATTGAGATCTCTGTAAACCGATCTCTGGTTCGAGTCGTTCGATCATTCACGCGTAAAGCGGGACAAGAAAGAATCGTCGCGTTTCTTATGTATTCTACGATAAAAAAAACTAGCTCGAAGTAGAGCGTCGGAGCATAAGCTGCCGCGTCGAGTGACCACATCACGACGTTGCAACTAAATGCTCGTCCAGCATCCTTCGGACTCTCGGTGGTGCAGCGTGTAAAGCGAACTCTGCGTGTAAAATTATTAGTCGACTACGCGTGCTCTTTACGAGGCAGTGCTTTCTCCTCGTCCTATCATGGATTCACCTTCGAGGTGGCGGAGAGAGTGCGTGCAGAGAGTGTGCCCTTTGACCTCCCTTCGACGAGGCCGTTCGATCGAGAAAAGAATCGAACTGATAAAAAAAAGAAAACATCAATGGACATTGCGAACTTTCGTATTGCACGAGGGAAAAGGAATTTCGCTGGCTCGTATATATATATATATAGTATATATGAACGTCTCGAAAAGTCTCGAATATCGTCTTTCGCTTACGTCTCCAATAATCTAACCGTTTGCTAAAATTATTAGATCTAATTCGATAGAATTATTCGATTGATCGCTCTATCGAAGCGTTCCGCTAATCACGCTTTCAACATTCACACGAAACGCTCGTTTGTTTTAAGTTCTACACACCTAACGATTTACATTTTGATTTAGAGATTCGAAGAAATCTTGGTAACAAATGCGAGGGATACGCGTGTTCCGTGTCACGGCGTGTAAGAACGACGTGTAAAAGACTCGATATTTTGTCCAGGCGCACAATGCTGGATGTGGGGACTATGCAGAGACATAGTATTGTGGCCGAGCCAGAGAATTCGAAGTTTCCCGGTGCGCGGTGCGCAGTGTCTGCCTCGCGAATCGACACGACAATGGCGGTTTCCGGTGAGAAAGTGAAACCTACGAATAACAAAGGGGGATGGGAAGAATCCGCGTTTCAATTCGTGCGTGCGGCGTGCGTGCGTGCGTGCGTGCGTGCGTGCGTGCGTGCGTGCGTGCGTGCGTGAATTGCTTTCTTTCCGTATTATTTTCTTCTTCTTTCCCCCAATTCTTTTTCTTTTCTTTTCTTCTTCTTTTTCTTTTTAACTTTACGTTAACTTTCCTTGATTTTCCGATCGACGAGAAGAAAGGGGCAAATCGTTCGAAACGATACTTGTCAGAAGCGGGGCGCGTCGTGTTATTTCTTTTTTTTTTTTTCTTTTTTTCTTTTTTCTCTTTTCGACAAGCTCGAGCTATACAACCTACCGAACGAATTCATCGTTTATCTTACTATCAGCGTGTAATGTGTGTGTCTCGGCGGGCCACCTCGCACGTCGGCGGCTTCGCTCGAACTTGAAAGAAAAAAAAAAGAAAGAATTAAGGCCGACGAGCGAACAAGCACGTCGTTGAATTCCGTCTGACGATTCAGGTACACTGTGTGTGCATGCGTGCCTAATGTATACGGTTTTCTCGGTTCGTAATTTCGAGTAGAGGAAAAATAGAGAGTGAGAGAGAGAGAGAGGGGCGGGGGAAAGGAAAAGAGAAAGAAACAGAAACAAAAATAGATACAAAGAAACAAAAGAGAGGTACTGACAAGTGTACGCGGACCGTTCAGTTTTGTTCCTTTTGTGGAAGTGGACGACGAATCCATAGTTATTTGTACGGCCTGGAAATTACGATTCAACTACGCGCATCGATTATATAAGTAGAGTAAATATCGAGCCTAGTGATCACAGCTATTGTACGAAACTACGATTGTAAAACTTTCGCGGAGGAAAAGAAACGATGTTACTAGTATTAGTAATAATGATAATCCATAATAATAATAGTAATAATAGTAATAGTAATAGTAATTAATGATAATAATAATAATGATAATAATAATAATAATTGCGGTTAGAT